ACCTCCCAATTCTGGTATTCTATGGCAAATGTCCATCAAGCTCCACGGTCCTGGGCAGTGAACACAGGGCCCACTAGTGGACGTTGGGCCCTCCGGCCACCCTCATGAAGTCTGTTTCTGATTGTTTGCTCAGAGACATGCACACCAGTGGCCTGCTGGAGGTCATTTTGTAGGGCTCTGGCAGTGCTCTTCCTGTTCCTCCTTGCATAAAGAAGCAGATACTGGTCCTACTTATGGGTTAAGGACCTTCTATGGCCCTGTTCATCTCTCCTAGAGTAACTGCCTATCTCCTGGAATGTCCTCCATGGCCTTGAGACTGGGCTGGGAGACACAGTAAACCTTCTGACAATGGCACATATTGATGCACCATCCTGGAGGAGTTGGACTACCTGTGTAACCTCTGTAGGGTCCAGGTATCACCTCATGCTACCAGTAGTGAAACTGACTGTAGCCAAATGCAAAAAATGGAGGAGGGAAAAATGTCAGTGGCCTCCACCTGTTAAACCACTCCTGTTTTGGGGGTCATCTCATTGTTGCCCCTCTAGTGCACCTGTTGTTAACTTTTTTAACACCAATGCAGCTAAAACCGATTAACAGCCCCCATTGCTACTTAACGGACTAGATCAATATCGCAGAAGTTAAATTGACTCGATGCTATACTTTGATTAAAAAGTGTTTGTTTAATTTTTTGAGCAGTGTGTGTGTGTGTGTATATATATATATATATATATATATGATTTTTTTGCAGTTTCTACAATTGCAATTATATTATATGACAGTAGATGGCAGCATACATTCAGAATCCATCTGCAATATGTTGTACACTTGCAAAGTAGACTGCTTTCACTTTAGATGAATAAGTAAACACCTGCTTGATAAATAACCCTAAATGTTATCTAAGTCAGATGTTGACATGTTCCAGAGCTGGGTCATAGGAATAACCAGTATTGAATTTGGAATTGTTGGACTGCTTTATGTGACAAATTTTATTTTGCTCATTATTTACAGATTACTACAGGCACTACTGTCATCAAACTGTTATATGGATCATTCTCAGGCCCTGATCTGACAAAAGGAGATCTAGACTAAAATCAGCTTATCAGGATATTACTTTGAAAAGATGCCATTGATTGAAATACATCTGCTTGTGCCCAGATCTTGACTCTGGTTTCTTCCTTGTAACACAGTTGGTAGAGTGTGCCGGAAGTCTAGGTGTCACGTAACTTCGGGAAAGTGAGTATTACTACTGTATGAAACGCTCATGTCAAAATCAATGTGTCCCAGGGTGCTTTATGTGTGGTTTATGTGAGGTTTGCAGTCACATGGTAAGGCTCAACATGTCTTTCCTGGAAACATACCTTAAGATTGCTTAAATCCTCATTTAAGTATGACTCAATGATGAGGAAAAAAGCAGGAATTGAACTACTAACCAACCGCTATGTGGTTCTTAACTCGTACACGTAAGCATGATCATATTTTTCCTGCCCTGGCCTCTCTTCTTCGGCTTCCATACCATTTTAGAATTGATCTTAAGATTTTACTGTTTATTTGAAAGTGCTAGAAGTATGTCTGTTTATCTGTGATGTCTTACATACTTACATCCCAGCAAGGTCACTGACACTGAAAAAAATGGGTGATTGTGCTTTTTCTTTGGCAACACCTAAACTGTGGAATACCTAACCTTTTCAGATGAGGACTGCACCTACATTATTTTATTTCTTGGTTTAATTCACTTAGATTTTTTAAATAATTGCTTTTAGTTGATGTTTTTATTTTATTATTGCTTTATTGTTTACTCATAACTCTTTTTTTGCCTTTTAATTCAGATGTGTTTATTGGTTCCTATAAAGGTGTTGTTTTTAAAAACGCTTTATGTAAAAGTTGACATCGACATCTGTGCTTCTCTTTCAGGTTTTACGAGGTGAACAGAGTGTAAATAAGATGAACATTCATTGATGTCATTATTAAGTTATGATTGTGATTAACTCCTAGTCTTGTCAAATGCATACAATAATGTGAATAAAAGCCTGAATACCAACTGCCAAAAACTTAAAATTATATAAATTTAGAAATCCATCCATTTCAGGGAAGCAGAGTAAGTTTATGAATAACTATATGCACATCCATCCATCCATCTTCCAATAGCTTAACTAGTCTACGGTTGGGGGAAATGCTTAATTCATATTTCATTCTTACATGTCTGCCTATTGATGCTGTGTCCAAACTTGTCCTTTAATCATTCAATATTACTGACATCGGTAAAACTTGATTGTTCATTTACATTGTACATTTTCATATTGTTCAAATTTGTCCAAACTTCTCACAGTCCTGCAGTATTTTGTTGATATAATATAATTTTCTTATTTTGATTCTTTTATAGATACGTCTGTAAAGAAAAGGAAAGCAGTCAAAATGTTTAAATAAGCCAATTATTTTGTGAATAGCAGTTGTTTTAGTAAATAACCAATTTTCCTGTTTTCACTAACACTATACTGCTTTATCACTGTAAGAATCAAATTACTGGTGTCTCATGCAGAGTGTACCCCAGCCCTGTGCTGCTTGATTCCGGATAAGCAGTTGGAAGATGGATGGATAATCTAATAACAGCATTGGGGGTTTGCATGTTCCTCCCATCCAAAGACAAACAGTTAATTGGAGTATTTCAGTTATTTAGGGTGTATGGGTGTTTATCAATATGCATACTCAACCATTCTTGTGTTTTCACGTACTCGCTTGATGTGATTTTCCATTGTTTAATTACAATTCCAATAATCAGGAACAAAAGTAAGGAGGATGTAGTTCTTGCCCAGCCCCAAAAATTAAGGATGCATCAGTCGCATTTTCACTAACAAGGAACAATGTCATGACTGATTACGTACCAAGTTTGTTCTTCAGAGGCAAGTTGGCAAGAACATCCTTGCCAAGAAACACAAGTACGATCTTTGCATTCTCTGTATTGAGAAACACCCTACGATTGTGTATGTATATGTTCTGTGACATACTGGCATCCCATCCAGGGCATACCCCAGCCTTGTGTCCGGTGCTGCCTGGGATAGGCTCCAGGGTCCCCTTGACCGTAACCAAGATAAGTGTTTGGAAAATAGATGGATGTATGGATGTAGTAACTACAGCTAAATTATTCAAAAATGCTTTATGTATGGTACTTTATTGTTTGTATTTTTTAGATTTTGCATAATTGTAGTTAGAATAAACCCTGTCTGAAAAGTTTGAGGGATTGCCCAGATATATGTATATTACTTTTTTGTCAAACACCATGCTTCAGCAAAAGGTTACCTAAGCAGCACATTGCCTAAAGAAGAGATCGAAGACTGGCAGTAAGTACAGCAGAAAGCATTTATTATCACACTGTAATCATTTGGTGCACGTACGTGTTTGAATATATACAACGGATAATTAATCACATACCAACTGTTAATAAAATTTAAATGTAAAATGTCACAACATAAATCTTCTGTGCCGTTTCTTTAGGTAAATGGGCCATGAGATTTTGTGCTTATATTGACTATCAAGCCTCTTTTACTATCTACATATATAAGCCAGTATCAAATTTCTTATCCACATTTCCATCTGAAACACGATGTCTGTGTTTTCCTTGTTCCAAGGTGTGATCCTTTAAGTACGCAACTGTTAGGTACACAGATTAGTCTGAGAAACATTGACAAAGTGGGTTGGGCAGGCAATAAAACCAACAGTAACTATAGAAGGAGCATTACACTTTGTCTCCTTTAGACATTGCTCATCTCCTTTTACTGCATTAATCAACCCGTTGTGGTAATCAGTTACAGAGCTGATTATGGAATCATACAATAATACATAATCTTTATGACATAAAAAAAAAAAAAAACAGGCCCATTGTACCACTTACCTATAACTGCAAAACAGAAAAAAATATGATTTATGGTAAATCTGAAATTTTCAATAACAAATATATCACATGGATTTGACTTACATTCAATATGTAATCACAAGTGTCATATTGCATTTTGACAACAAAAACACCCGTTATATTGTTGTATTTATGCATAAATATATCCTGATTAAACTATGCAAATATAAAAATATAACATAATAATACAGAGAAGAAATGGACAGCCCAGTTATTTCAAGATGATGAAAAACTGCAAAGTGGGGGGGGGGGCAGTTAATGACCATTTGAATTTGCTGTGCCACAACTAATAAGAGTACATTATTTAGCCCACTAAACATTGACTGGCGGAAGATTTTATACAGGACTGACTCTCCAAAATAGGAAAAAAGGCCATTCCGAAACTTTAGGAGTGAAGGACAACGTGTTTCACGGACTTTAGCAACATTCTTGTTTAAACACATTTCTGTTCTATTCAAGCATAGCCCTGCTAATCCATTCCAATGCAAAGACATGCCCTGCAAGGAACAGAAAGTGCTGCACAACTTCTGACAATCACAAGAAAAACACCATAAAAAGATTTGGCTACAGGGTTATGAATTATGCATTTTGCTGGTATGCATATTAGGTTCCAAATGATTTTGTCTTTGGTGCAAAAATAACAGATTTACAAGGCTTATATATTTTTGCAATGATGATTGCTTTGTCCATAATCATTTCCTAATTTCATTGGCTCATTACACAATACCTTGCTTGCAGTAAGTCTTAAACAAAACACAAATTACCCTTCAACTCATATAAAGGATACAGTGAAAGGAACTAAATATTAATGAAATGTTCTAATTATTTAATTGAAATGCTTCCAGATTATGGCAGGTTAACAGGCTAAAATGGATTTCAGTATTAGTGACATTCTGTTTACAAACAGACTGCAAACTGTTTGCATTGTAAGTAAAGTGCAATCAGAAAAAACAAGCTTGAGCAGATGTAAAAAAATATATATTTCTTTGAAGGTGTTCAGCCATGCTAATAATTACTCAATGATATCATAGCTGCAAGGTCAAGCAAAATCATAATGTATGCCTTTCACTTTACCAAACATTTTTAATTAGCTTCCCTTTGTAGACAACCAATTCGTTTGACTCATGTTTTATGTAATCTCGCTTTTCATACAATGGCAAAAAAGATTCTGCCAAATTCTCATACCAAGATATTTTCTAAGCATTCTGGAGCTAATAAAAAAAGTTACTGTATCCAATTCCTCATGTTCCAAAGCCTGTGGGTAAGATGGTTTTCTATCAAATAGGAAGTGAACAGATCCACTCAAACAGTGAAAGGTATGAATGAAAGATGTTTATTGTGGGGTGTTTCCCAGTCAATTTGTCCCAGTTGATTTGATTCTCTCTCCACCCTGTCATCTGAAACCTTATATTGCCACGACTACTTTTCAAAGCTATTTACAAAAATGCTACAGTGGAAGGTCAGGGTAAATGCATGGCGAAAAGGAAATAAAATATGCTGGGGGACAAGGGACTGTTTAAATCACTGTTTGTTCTGTACAGCTTTTGTAATTGCAGTACATCGGCAAGCAGATTCTGGTAGTGATAATGCGTAGGATGGTTAAGATTCTAAGGGTAAAAATAGACCGATGCATTCCTCCTGCTTCAAAATAATGACGGAACAAGAACATGGGCAGGAAGTCCGTTTATGTGTTAAAAAACATATACTTGTGATATTGGGGTGGTGTGTGGCTTAGCAAGTTAGGCCAATGTATTTATGATTGGAAGGGTGCTAGTTCAAATTGTGTGGTCGGCCAAGTGATTTTATTGTTGCCCTCAAGCCCCAGTTATTCCAGGGACTGTCTGACCTCGCTTTGTCAAAAATGCATATCACTTTGGATAAAAGTGTCTGCTAAATATTTTAAATGCAGCACTTTCAGTGCTATCTGTAATATGTCATTTATTAATTGATGTACTACGTGTACAGTATGTTGTGGTTAAACTAGCTGAAACCACCCATAAGTTACTGTATGCTACTGGAAAGGTGTCCACATTACAGGATTTTTAGTACAATAACGAACTTGGTTAGATCTCATCCAACTCTGTCCTATTCAGGTCCCACAGTGACTGGAGTGCAAAAATTAGCCCTGAATTTTCCCAAGGCACAGCGTGGCATGGCACTTTAAGCATGGAGGGATTAGAAGAAAAGCAAATAGCAAGATGGGAAAAAGGTTGATCAAAGAGTGTGCAGTATTGATTGACCTAAAAAGTGTATGAATTATTCAGCATGTGAACAAATGTGACTTACAGAAGAGACAGATTGAAGAACCAAAGAAGAACTAAGAGTGCAGAGAGGGTTATGTAAGGCTTCCCATGCTGGCTGCTTTGCCCTCAGCGCCCCATGCAAGGGCTCCATGGCAGGTGTTGAATGGGGAAGAGATCTTGGTGATTAGATAGTCCCTTTCTGAGCTTGTTCTGCTGGAACAGCATACATCCTGCAGGGAAAAATTGTGGATGTATTAGCTACACATGTCAACTTCAGTTCAAAGATAAAAGTACCTTCTATGGAAATATTATTTACATTAATTTTTAATATTACTCTGTACTACTACTTATATAATCCATCCAAATAATATCCAATAATGCTAGAAACAGAAAAACTTATGACTGCATATGAAATTTTTCATATATAGAATAATGCACAAAGTAAATGAACAACCAAGTAAATTACCGTTATACTGAATGATTAAAGTGGTGATTACTCTTTGCAAATCACTTGTGTTGTGATCAAACCATTTGATACCATGTTCAATGCTGCACACAGAAGGCTTAAAGACTTACACAGGGCATACATTTGCAGGGCGTGATTGTAATGTTTTTACAGTGTCTCCCAAAAAGCCGAAGTGTTGACTTGAAATACTTAGGGGTTGCTGTGTGATTAAGCCTCTTTTAAGTCACACTGTCACTCATCACCATGGCCACCACCCTCTTCAGATCTTGCCCCGGGAGGCACCGTCACTGTTGCTAAAGTATTTGGTTGATTAAGATACAGCGGGGACTCTATGCCGATTGCTAATGCGAGTTGCTAGGTGAGCAGATACTGGCTCTGCTGTACACAGACAATTTGATAACCTGGTAGGGCTGAGTGGCATACACATTGCGCACATAGGGACAGAAAGTGATTACTCTGCAGAAAACCAGCCACAGCATTAACTATAGCCCACATATAACACGACTCAGCCATCTGCACAGATCCCCTGGGGCCTGTTGTACAAGCTGGTTATTTTCATGTAAGAAAAACACAATGTATCACCGTTAAACTGGTTGAGGCAGTTCTTTTGTCTGATTGTTCATGTCAGACAGAGTGAAGCAATACTGGGATAGGCAGGCTGTTTTTCTGCTTTCTCATTTCAGAGCCAGATTTTCACCGAATGCACCCTTTTCTGGACACATGTCAGGTCTTGTATCGAAGGGTTACACATAGGACACCCCCTCCTTTCTTTTCTTTTGGCAGGTGGGGGCATCAGATGACTCAAAGTGGTGTGTGACTCTGGTGCAAGTATAAACCAGCTCTGATAGGGGGATGTGTCTCATTCTGCTTGCCTTTGGCACAACTGTCTGATTTCGATGATGACATTTTCGTAGCAGAGGTCAGGTTGCCAACTCCATACAGTCATTTCCAAATAAATAAGTCCATTGACTAAACAGATGTTAGGCTTTGACAAAGGATTCTATTCTGTGGATGACTGTCACTTTTTCTCAGACACCAAGGTGAAAGTGGAATGAAACATCAGGTCAGTAATAATATGAGGACAGTCACAATATAGCCACATACAATATCAAAGGCTCTTATCTGTCAGTTAATATTATCAGTTTATTTTTAATTATTCGGATGTTTTCTCATTCAATTTGCATTGGCACCTAAGTAATACAATTCTAGAGTTTATGTTTCTTATTATTAAAAACAGTTCCAATGAATGGTCTTCACAGTGTTGCAAGCAATGATACAAATTATGTTATGTTATAACAATCAAATAAAACAAAATATCTATCCTTACCCTTGAAGCTGATCGTGCATGTAGTGTTTGACCAGAAAAATTGCTGAAACACAGGATAAAAAGTCAAAGCATGCAATTAAACTGATTACATGGCCAATTTATCAACGGAACATAGATTTTAGATATTCTGACAGAGCTCCAAAAAGTAGCTCCAAAGAGTGATTTTCAAATACATTTATCACAAGCATTCATTTGAGGTAGCTACTTTATACCTCAAGATCATTATTTAAATCAAAGACTGCTTGTACAGGTGGTCACATTAAAGTTTGATCTAGTGTAATGGTCAACTATTTTCACAGCGGTGTCACTGGCTTAATTGGAAACAGTCATATTTTGAATATCCCAAGCAGATATGCCAGCCTATGCAAACAGTCTGCAGTTAGATGGGTTCAAATATGAAGTAATTTCACTGGTCTGTAGGTAGGACCTCATCGCTTAAGGCCCCACACAATCAATACATATCAAACTGGTTTGTGTCATCTCCCTAGGGATCATGGGACAAAAACAAGTTTAGGT